CGAGGCTAAAAGATTTAGCAAAGTTCATATCTGATTCGTTTATGAAGAAGATGCCGCTTTCTGTCTTATTGAGAAAGAAAGGCTTACTAGTTTCAATTTCAGACTTCAACAATGAATCAAAACAACTTTTGCGAGAGGAAGTGCATATTTAGCATGATGAATTCGATACCTTAGGGGAAAATGGACATGTCCTTAGCGCGACGAATACTGTATTGCATTAGCTTACTGTTAGCTTTCAAATAAAATTGTTTTCCACATTCTTTCAAATTGCAGAAAATCATAGAAAAACCAAAGTGCTGCGATTTCTTTTTCCCTACGCCATTGTTCAACATGAACATGAAAATTCAAGCGAGATCAAAAAATTCGGAAAAAATGAATGATGATTTGTAGAACAGAAAAAGGCTTTCACAAAATAATCTAATTGGTCCGCGAAGGCTTACAAGCCTTTTTAAAGTCCTCATTCCGCTTTCCTGGAATATACTGCAAAATGGTTTAATAAAGGATCATGGAGGTTACCACCTCTAGCACCTTAAGGCCACAGCATGAGAGTAGCGCATCAGATAGCACTTGTGCCTACAAGTTCAAACTCAACTGCGCGCAATTTCTATGAACTGCCTCAAAACCGTGAGGCCAAGAATTCTTGTCAATGGCACAGTGTCACCATGAGCTCTACCATTCCCGTTAATCCGCCGCACCTGCTTGAATATGAAGATATAGGAGTTTGTGAGCTTAGGTGGGAACCTGCTAAATTGAGTTTCAAAAGTGACCGCTTTCCAACAGCCCCATGAGGCGCAAAACTGCTTGAATCGGAGTAAAAGAAAATCTAGGATTTTTGGTAGTTTTCTGCATTCCTGATGGATTTTCTAACATATAAAAAGCTTGAGAGATAGGAGAGTTCCGAGCGGGACATGGTCTTGAATCGACCGTTTCGTTAGGTATTATTTAGATACTAAGAAACTAAGATGGACAAGTCCCAGCAATGTTTCTATCCGTTTGTCCCTCTTGCTAGCGTAATCAACGATGTTGGTATTGAGCTACGGTGACGACATTCGCGAGGTCCACATCCGTTATTTGCCACTCGAAGTTTCAGCTGATCCATCCGTGCAACGAACACGTCAGCCCATCTGGTCGGTGGCCTC